CAGTGACTGGCCGGCATCGGCGCTTTGGTGTTCAAGCTGGCGAGCCCCGTCATGGAAGATCCGTTTACTGACCGGCATCGTTTTGTTTTTTTCGCCTTTTTCAATATGAAGTCAAGTCATTGAGATTCTGACAAACTGTGGCAATTCATGGATAGCGAGTGGAAATGTTTGCGTTGATCAATCCTTCCTAAATGACTGCCGACGCTAGGGTATTTTATCCCAGCATGGCAAGGCTGACGTGTTTTATCGCGAAGACGCAAGAAAAAACAGTACGGTGAAGAAAATTAGCCGTGCTGCACTTGAATCTCAGGAATAAAAACGTGTCTAGGCCTAATAAAAAAGAAAAACTGCGGAGCGCAACCTGTATAAATAAAACCTGGCGGCACGCGGGGGATAGCACTGATCTACGAGAACAAATTAAATACTACTTTCCGGAAGTCAGATAATTAAGAGATGAGCTCAGCTAAATTACTGCCTTAAAATGACGGTATTTTTGATTCGACAGTGGGTGAAGAGTGCCGCTTTCAGACAAACTTCAGCTGCATTACTGTGGCAGTTTTACCACTTACACATTTTCCCATTTTGCTCGCAATATGCTCATTAATATTACATTTCTTTCTTCTTTGAAAGGACTTGTACTGTTTGCCTACGGTTATGAATTATCCCGGCAAAACAAGAGGGCCACGGTTTGTGCTTTGCAACAATTCAAACTTAGGCTCGCACTTTTTGTTTTCACCTTCTCCGTGAATATTACCCTAAAGAACGGTGCCGACGACTGCAAAAATATAGAAAATATTTAAAATAATAAAATCTAATACAGAAAGGTGAGAAAAAAATAATTAATAATATAAAAACTAATACAAGAAGATGAGAAACAATATTTTAAATAATAAAAACTAATACAAAAAGGCGAGAAAAAAATATTAGAAATAATCAAAACTAACACAAGTGGGCGAGAAAAAAAGTATTTAAAGTAATAAAAACTAATACAAAAGGTAAAAAAATATTTAAAATAATAAAAAAATAATACAACAAAAAAACATAAGAAAAGAGTGTCCCGGGATTCGAACCAACGTCCGCGCGATCTGCAAGATAGCGCGTTAGCAAACTAGGCTGAAGTTGCGCGGGTTTTTTTTTTTTTTTTCCAAACGAAACAATTTTATTTACAAGTTATTTACAGACATCCTTGCCGTAGGTTCCGCAAACATTATACAAGGCCACATTGAAAAGTAATTCAGAAAACGACAGGTGGATAGCTCGTATAGAAACGTTATACAAACTGTATGGACGAGTGAGAAAAAGAAAGACTCTGAAAAGAGAGAAAAAAAAAAAAAAGAAAGATACACTATCGCCGTGCGGCAAGTAGTTGTCACACAAACCTGACCAGACTTGGCGGAAACGATTGAGAGGAAACGCAAACGATACAGTATGAGACCGCGTGAGCAATTATGCAATCTGTACGAAAAAAAAATCAATAAATCGAACAAAAAAGGACGCGAAGTTCCAAGGGGGGAAGAGCCACGGTCTACTTTCGCGCACCGCACACCTCAGCCAACGCCAACGCGCCTACAGTTCACAGGAACTCGCCAGTTTCCCACGCCTGACGTATGTCGTTGCACGCAGCGGCGACGACCTTCCTCGAGTTGTCGCTCGATGCACTCCCAATCACCCGCGTTCGGCTGCCGCGACGTCACCGATAGCACCCACCCCAACGTGGACACGAAGTAGCTCCAGGTTGGACGCGCGTCGAGATGGCATAGCACCATTGCGGTACGCGACTGCCAGATGGCGTGCAGGCCCAGCAGCATCATCACGTGCGCCACCTCCGTCTTATCCCTCTCCTCGAGTTGCAGATACTTGAATACGCTCCACTCCACTTCGAAGGAGTCCCTGAGCTCAAACGTCGTCCTCATCTCGTCCCAGAAGAGGTAGGCATTGCTACACTCGACTAGGACGTGCTGAATGGTCTCGGGCGCCCCGCAAAGGTCGCAGTTTAGGGACCACGGCACGAAGAACCCCTTTTGATGGAGCCAGGTTTTAACTGGAAGGACCTCCATGTGCATCCGGACGAAGAAGTCCCTTGTCGCCACAGGGATGGGAAGGATTCGCACGAGTTTGTAAAGTCGCGTCGCGTCGTCGGGCGTCGTTGGTTGTCTGTAGAGCGGTGGCGGGAAGGATGCGGAAACGGCATCCCAGTACAGCCGCCTCTTTCTGACGGTCGCCAGGTATTCCCAGGAGAATTGGGCCTGCAGAAACTCGATGGAGCTGGCGATTTCCTTGTAGAACCTCAGGGCGGCTCCCTTGGTCGTGCGGCCACTCGTGCTCACCATCCAATTCCCGAGATGTGGGAATCCAAGGTGGTGCAGCACGGCGATGAAGGTCGGGTCCTTTGCATCCCGGAAAAGCAGAAAACGCTGCACGTGCAGCTTGAGCACGATGTTAACGAGGCCCAGACCTCCGCTCTCTTGGTGCAGAAAGAGGTTGTTCCTTCGTGTGCTTTCCATGGCGGACTTCCACACGAACATGGCCCAGTTCCGGTGTACTTTTCCGGCCTGACTGCCCGGGCAGCAGACGGCCTGAGCCCTGTACAGCACGGCTGGGTAGCTGACTGTGTTGCACACGTGAGCCCGGCTGAAGAAAGACAAGTTTCTGCACCGCCAGGGCGACAGCTTGGCGGCAACGGAGTTGGCGGTTGGTCTCCACACTGCGGCCATTGATCGCTGCGGGTCCACCGGCACACCCAGGTAGCCGGCGAGCGAAGTGCTCCATCCTATATCTCCGAAAGTTCTTGGCGTAGTCGCCCATTCACCGAGCCACGCCCCCGCCGACTTCTGTCGGTTGATCATGGCTCCTGAGGCAGCGCAGAACCGGTCCACGTGTCGCAGGATGGTCTGCACCTGTACCTTGGACGAGCAGATAAACGAGACGTCGTCTGCGAAGGCCAGAACGCGGACGTCTTCGTCCCCAAGCCGTAAACCTGAGATGGATGGGTCCGCATTGACTGCCCGGCAGAGTGGCTCCAACTGCAGCGCAAAGAGGATGGGCGAAAGGGGGCAGCCCTGCCGAACCGACCTCCCGATGGAGATGGGACCTCCCCTCTGGCCGTTGATGAGAAGGCGCGTGGAGATGTCTCGGTAGCAGAGCGCGATCCACTCCCGCAGCTCCTCCCCCACGCCGAATCGATCCAGCGCCGCCAGGAGGAACCTGTGGGACACCCGGTCGAAGGCCTGCCGCAGGTCCAGCTGCAGGACCGCCAGGGGCTGGTGACCCTCCGACCCTCCGCCGTCGCCTCGCCGATCGCCCGCATGATGTGGAGGTTCCTGGATATTTTCCTCCCGCGAAGGCCGTAGGTCTGATGGGGCCCTATGATGGACTTGAGACCTGCGTCAAGTCGCCTTGCGAGGATCTTGGCCAGGATTTTATAATCAGAGCAAAGAAGACTGATGGGCCGAAAGTCCCCGACCTCGGAAATAGGGCCCTTTTTAGATTTCTTCGGGATCAGTACCGTGAAGCTTTGCCGCATGGTCGGAGGAAGTAGCCTTCGTCTGCGGATGTCATTCAAGGCTCGAGCCAAGATGGGGCACAGAGCGTCAGAAAAGATTTTGTAAAACTCTGACCCGATGCCGTCCGGGCCGGGAGCTTTGTTACGGGACAGGTGCTTGATTGCATGTTGGACCTCGGCCTCCCGGATTGGGCAGTTCAAAATGTCAACCGCCCCCTCAGGAACCGAAGGAGATCCCCGGAGAAAGGGCTCGAAGGCGACATCGTCAAGCCTCTCCTCCCGGAAGAGCTCCCCGAAGGACGTCTCGAAGACGCCCGCGATGTCTTCTCTTGAAGTGAAAACACGAGCTCCTTGCCGCAGCTCCTTGATAGTGTTCTCTGTTGCCCTTTTCCGCTCGTGTGTGCGGAAGATCTTCGAGGGCTGCGTCTCTCCCTCGAGTGTCTCGACTCTGCTCCTCACCTGGGCTCCCTTGTAGCGCTCCTCCAGCATGGCCAGCAGGTGCTCTTTGCAGAGCTTGATGTCGTCACTGAAGGATCCTGGACTGCTCTCCTCCTCCTCCAGCAGTGCCTTGAGGGTGTTCGTGAGGTGAATCCGAGCTTGACGTTCCTCTGCGCCCCTGCGGCGGCCGAGCGCGCACGCGGCATCCCGGAGCTTGATCTTGAACTCCTCCCACGAGACCGCGTCCGCGCCGCCCTCCTCCAGGTTCTGGAGAGCACGCCTCGTCTCCTCAATAAAATCTTCGCTTTCGAGGATGCTGGAGTTCATCTTCCAAGGCGTGTCGCGCCTTGCCCGCACACTTCCGGGGCCCCCAGCAAGAATCTCAGCCGCGACGAAACCGTGGTCTGAGAACGGAACAATCTTCGCATCGTAGGACACGACGCTCCCGGACCACTCGCCAGAGACGTAAACGCGGTCCAGCCGCGCCTGCGACGCGCCCCTCCACCTCGTGAACCGCGGCGAAAACTTGTCAAGCGTCTCCGTCACGTCCACAAGGTCGAAATCGCGCACGGCGTCGCGAACCGCAGCCGCACCCACGTCGGCTCTTGGGACTGCCGACCCGCTCACTCTATCGCGACTGTTAGTCACGCAGTTGAAGTCTCCGCCGACCACGAGCGTGGCGGGCGTGTCAAGAAGTGCGCGCAGTCCGACGAAAAAGTCCTTGCGCTCCCCCGGCCGGCTAGGGGCATAGACCGATATAAGGCGCACCAGCTGGTCTCCAAGGAGGCAATCGGCAAGTGCAAAGTGCCCACTCGCGCACAGTCTGAGGTCCAGCATTCGGATGCCAGTATTTTTTCTGACTAGGATGGCGGTTCCCCCGGAGGGACTAGCCGTGAGCGTCTGAACGCACCAAAAAACGTTTCCAAAAAAACGAACAAAACTTTTTGCTTTCTCAGCGGAGCAGATCTTTGTCTCTTGTATGAAAATGACGTCCGCGCTCTCCTCATTAATTAGATCTAATAAAAAACTTTTACGCTTCGTGGCGGTGACACTTATACAATTAAAGGTTGCTATTTTTAAACACTTCATTTAAAATTATTGTATATAAACAGAACACAAAGAAGCAGCCAAGACCAACAGTACAAATGTAGACGTGATAAGACGAGATGAAAGGTACAAACACAACAACTAAGAAAAGAGAACGAAAAGAAAACCAACGAAGCACAACTACCGAGTAAAAATCGAAAAGACAGAGTTGAGGAAAGATAACTCTCACCCAAATTATGGAAAGTGCCGGGTTTCCTCGCACATTCTTCAGTGAAGACCGATCCGTTTCGACGGGACGCGAGGCTGGGATTTCGGGAAGGTCTTTGTACTTTTTACGCGCACTCTGTCGTGTTGCCTTGCCCGTGTCCTTGAGAGGCGCACCTGCGTTGGGCTCCGGCGGGGGAGCTTTCCCCGGAGCGGCTGTCGGCGCTGGCGGAGTGGCCTCCTCCGCTTCTTCCCGCGAAGCCGTGGGCATCGTGGGCTCGGAGATGGAAGCCGCCGCGGCAGCCCTCTCCGCCGACACCGGGTCGGGCTCCCCCACCGAAGGGCCCGAGTCGGTGTCGTCTTCGTTCGGTGGTCCCCCGCGAATGTCAGCCGAGGGGACGGCTGCCGAAGGGTCCACGATCTCGCGTAGAGTCTGCAGCTCCGGAGTCGGATGTGCTTCGTTTACCTCGACTACTGCGGCCCCCTCCGTGTCGCCGTCGTCCAGCAGCTCCTGGTGCCGCTCGCGCAGTGGCTCGTGCCTCGTCTTGGAGGCGTACGTTGGGACACAGTCGGCCTCGACGTGTCCGTAGCCCCTGCAGCCGCGACACCACGGCGCCCTGCATTGCCTTCGCATATGCCCCAGCTGGTTGCACCGGAGGCACATGGGAGGCCGGCCGGGCACGGAGATGAGCACGGGATAGTCGGCCACGTGTCCCTGGTGCGGCAGCTCATCCCTTCGGCCCCCTTTCTTCAGGATGATCCTTACGGACCGCGTAGATGTTTCGACTTCGTAGTCGTCGGTCGGCGACTTCCACATCTCCCTGGTGATCTCTTCGACGACCCCAAACTCCGCGAAGGCGGCGCTGACCTCCCTATCTGTCACGTAGGTGGGGAGCCAGTGAACCCGCAGCACCACCTCCGTGAAGTTCGGGTCGACCACGACGCATTTCCGGCCTTTCACCTTGACATCCTTCAGCGCGGTCAGCTTGTCCTTAGCGTCTGTTGAGTTCAGGGTGCACACAAACACGTGGTTGAACTGGAAGGCGCCCAGCCCAACCACGTGCTTCATTCCAACAGTCGACTGCAACATATCGGCAAAGTCCTGAGTGCGGTAGGGGCGTCCTCTGGGGTCCCCATGCAGGAAAACGGTCTTCTCAAGCCTGCTGCCACTTGGTAGTAGCGGCAGCAGCATCTTGTAGCCCGAATCTCCGGCGTTGCTCGTATCCTGATGCGCGCCCTCAACGGGGGCAGCCGCTCCGTTGGCCATTCAGACGGTCGCGTGGGGGGAACGGGAGAGCGGAAAAAAAACGCGTCCGCTCCCACGCGCGCCCACGTCGGAACTGAAGGTTATCCGAGAGTGTTTTCTGGAAAGATACATGTCTGCTAAATTCGTTTCGAACCGTTGTACTTAGTTTCGTATTTGATATTTTCTACGTGTTCAGGACTTATTCATAATATTATGGCAATAATGACGTCTGCAATAATTTATTATTGCTGTGTCTTGTATGAGTTTTATAATGCGGTTTGCTTATCCTTTTATTTGAAATGTTTTGAAGATACGAAAACAATCGCATCGAATCAACAGCATATGTTTCGCACGGTTTGCCGGCCGTATCGGCCGTGTGCGTTTGAATGCCTGCGTTCACGACCGGATGACGGTTAAATTTCCCGATTAGTCGTGATGCGTGGAGTTTGCCTTAGTTTCAAACGTGTCCGAAAAAGACGGAAGCGACTGTGAGAAGTGGAACTTCGTCAAATCGGCTCAACAGCCAAGATCATGGCACGGGAACCGAAGTAAGTTTGCTTCTTTGTTCGTTAGGGCTATCTTATTTCCTGCGTTCAGAAAGCTTGTTATTGTCTGTAGATCGCTTGCTTTTAGCAGTATTATTAATTGTGCGTGAATGGTGTTATGCGAGGCTGTTTTTCTTCTTTTTTCCCCGATGCAGAGACTGTACTCGCTCAAGGTTCATCAGTAGCGGCGGAACTCTTTGGGAGACGGGGGGTGCGGGGGTGGGGGTCAAAGCGGATGGGGGAGGATTGCCTCCCTAAAGGCCTCCCTCTGTCGTATTGTTTGCTGGTAAACTAGAATGTCTGAAAGCGCGCGGTGCGGTGCCCCTCCATCGCCGACGCCATTGCATGCGGAGAGCTGGACCCGACAAAAAGCAGCGATTGATTGATCGAGCAAGCCCGTGGCTTCCACCGCCCAGTCGTCTCCAAACGATTTCATTTTCGCGATTCGTAATCAGAAAAGAATTGCCAAAAATTGGTGCCGCAATGAATTTACCTTGGGCCGCAATGAATTTACCCCATGGTAGCATACCACTTCCGATCGCAAAAATTTGTGCCCGCCAAATAATTTTTGACGCCGGCACTTATTCCTCGCGAAATGTCGAGCTCTCTAAATATCATTTGCTGTACACGTGTTTTTTTATGATCCAACGCACGTGCAACGAATTTCACAGCTCCAGAAACACTCAGGCTGCTTTAAATGGTGAAGCATTTATTCTTTTCCTACTGCTGTTTTCTAGAGGCTATCAAGTATTAATTACAAGCTTCTAGGGAAATTTACAAGCATGTCCTGAATTAAGGTAGTGTCTCGCCAGTTTTTGGTATCTATATTTTTTTCAGTGTAAGTATATAGTGTTAGACATACCTCACCAAATCCCTGTTTTTTCGTTTGGTATTGCCTTTAGCGAATGGTGCAAGTTGTAAGTGTTTTTAGTTGTTGCACGATTGTAGTAAGGTGGTGAGCTGGTACTAATGGAACATCTTGAAAAATAGTTCGCAAAAAAATCGAGACAGGGAAAGTAACACATAGACCTCATGCAAGCGCATACTGAACTCGCATAAATCAGAGAAGGGAGAAATATAAATGCGGAAGGGCTCGAGCACAGGCCCAAGTGGAACGCGCTGATTTACCTGTTAGCAAGGGCCGACTAAAACAAAAATAAACATAATTTTTCTGTGAAGGTAACAGATAGATGGCTAGTACATCAAGAGAGCTCAATCTATCTCTAAAATCTACGATGGATTGTCATACCTATGCACTGTTTACACTACTCGTGTATGTCATCCTTAGGAAAAACGTCAATAATTAGCAGATACTATAAAAACATAGAAGATAATTATTTTAGGCCTTTCTTATTCGTAGTATGGGGCAACCAATGGTGTCCGCACATCCGTCGGTTACCTGAGCTGCCGAGGAAATTGTTTTTACAGTATTATGCATATGAGTGAATTAGCATGGCCCACTTGGACCTGTTCGAACTTTTGTTAAAGCTCCTAACGCATTCTTTTTTTTTTCTTTTCTAATGTTTGTGTGTTGAGAGTCTGCACTCGTATGTAGTGTATGTATTCCTAGCCTTCATTCCTTGTTTTTTGGGTACTATTTTTCAAGATGTTCAATCAGGATGAACTCACCACTTTACTACATGGAAAGGCTGTTGCTAGTTCTAGAGTGTCTGTAAAACAATATACCTGACATCTTTGCCTCACATCTCGGTTCCTGAAGCTCACATTCTCCGAGTAAAGCCTTTCTGAGTTCTCTCATCCTCTTATTTTCTTTTGTGTACAATCAGTCGAGTTGCGAATGTACACCAGTCTGCGTCCTACGTGTTTCTATATTTTTGTCCTTGTCTTTTTGTGCACTTTTTCAAGTTGGTCTATGATATTTTTTATCATATATTCTAATCTGTGTTTTCATCTTTGTACTTACTGCAGCCTTTCCCAATTAGATGTTGGTATTCACTTTGCCATCCTGATGTGAGTGACCTGAGACGACACAAAATGACAGTCTCCCCTGCTGAAGTCCTGGCTTCATGAAAGACTGCCAAGGCTGTTCATGGCAAGGTTAGCAATATAATAGCAACTTATTGCTGCTAGGATTGTTTTTGACAAAGACTGCATTTATGGGCCGGCAATTTGCAATTCTGTTGCCACTCATGTGGAATGAAAGTCTTTAGGGAAACTGCGCATTTCATTCGTAAGCGGAATGCTGAGTTTACAACAGAAGTGCATTGCGTTGCCTTGCGTTGGGGGTCGGTGGCCGACTGGGCAAGCGCACACCATTTGGAGCACGTGGAACGAAAGCTTGCGCTGCAGAATCCTGGGTTCAGTCCGAACCCCTGCCCATTTCGATCTAGAAAGCATCGTACTGGCATGCGTATCACTACTGCGTGGGGCAGGTTGTAGATTCCAGGCTAGCGGTCATACTGCACTGGCTAAATTGCTCACCTACAGCGAGCAACTCATCGCAGCTTTGAAATGGCTCACCAACTACACGCTGTAAAAATATCCACAGAACCCCAACAGAAGTGCGTCACTAATTGCATCCAGTATTGCTGTGTGTTGTATCTGTATTTTGTATTTGTTTATTTAGTGTTCCCAATAATGGCTGAAGCCTTCCCATTGGTGCGCTTGTTGGTAGCAACACACAAACACAAACAAACGGCGAGAGTGGTGAACACCACCACTTTTACCGCTCGCCGCCGCGCCCATTGGTTTTCGGAGAAGTTTGCAGTGTTAGTCCTTGTGGTATTTGGTCATAAATCGCACATGGACACAACCAGGGCACTGTACCTACAACTCAACACTTGCAAGACTTTCGTGAATACACCCTGTAGGTGCTCGCACTTTCAGAGTCATTTTAATGTTACAGAAATGATAGAATGGATGCTTGGGCGAGTTGATGAACCATATTCTATGGTGACAGTTCAGAAAAACATTCGCGCACCAGATACTCAGGAAGACAAGCACACGCGCTGAACTTACAACTTTCGTGTATTCGACTACTTCGTTCTTCTCTTCAACGTCTAGATTGACTTTTCAGAGTGTGATAAGGAGAGTAGCGCAAAATACAAGGAAAGAAGCAAAGGACAGAAGAAAAAGAAACGGAGGAAAAACAAAAATAGAAAGCTCTTACAAGTCATCCCTCTCCCTCACTACTATCCTTAAGATAGAAATTGGAGCTTTTTGGTCGACAACACAATAGAAGGACTACTTACACACTTGTTTTTCAGATGCTCTATTCTTTGCGCTTCCATTATTTCCCTTGGCAATGGGTCTCGACTCTTAACTATTACGGAACAATTTTCAAAATGTGCTACACAACCCCACTCCGGACAGTGGGTTCCCAAATGTCCAGCGGCGACTCGATGGGTGTTATAAAAATGCTCCTTTAAACGATCATTTAAACACCTGCCAGTCTGGTCTACATAAGTAGTGTGGTAAGACGTATGTAGGCCAGACTGGCAGGTGTTTGAATGATCGTTTAAGGGAACATTTTTATAATAACCACCGAGTCATCGCTGAGCATTTGGGAGTCTGCTGTCAAGATTGTGGTTGCATAGCACATTTTGAAAATTGTTCCATAAGAGATATGATTTGAGATCAATTGACAAGAGAAATAATGAAAGCGCAAAGAATAGAGCATCTGAAGGACAAGTGTGTAAGTAGTCCTTCTATAGCGCTGTCGACCAAAGAGCTTCAATCTCTATCTAAACAATAGCGGTAGAGAGAATGATGATGTTTAAGGGTTTTCTTTCTTCTTTTGTCTTGTCTTTCGCTTTTTTCCTTGTATTTCGCGCTATTTCTTCTGCTTATCACGTTCTGGTAAGTCTATCCAGACGTTGAAGAGAAGGATGAAGTAGTCGAATACACAAGAGCTATAAGTTTAGCGCGTGTGCTTGCCTTTCTGAGTATCTGTTGTGTGATTGTTTCCCTGCACTGTCACCGTAGAATATACAAAAATGAATAATGCCATTGGCATATTTGTCACTTGTTCTGAACTTTTATCTCCACGAGATCACAATACCATCGTTTCTGTTGTAGTGACACTGCAGACTCTATACTTGTTTTGCTTCAGTCTTTGCAAGGGGGACGCTGTAGTCCGATTCTACACATCTATGGTGTACTAGACGGCACCATATTTGCAGAGCTAGTCTTCGGTTTTTGTAGTTCCATCGAAATATATTTCAGCTTTTAAGTTATTTGTTATTTGGCATGTACATTTACAAGCTTATCTAGATTGAAGGCAGCAAATATTTTGCCAGCACTCATGGCACGCGTTTGAAGTATATTGCGTTAACATAATTGACCAACCTCTGACTTTTATTTGTTAGCGCCTCTAGCGAATTGTGCATGCTAGGATTGCTTTTCTTTGTTTGTTTCACATAATCTACGGCACATTTTTCACCTTTCTACTCAGTGCAGCCCTCGCCGAACAGAAGCTAGCATCGACCAGGCCGAGGTTCAGTCCATGGCAGTGTG